TCTCTCATGAACAGATCAAGATACTTATTAAACTTTCACCTCCTTACTTATATTAAACTGATAAATAATTGAAAACATTTTAGAGTATACATGTACATCAAAAAGGCACTGATACAATTAATGTAGGTATGCTGATTTATAGCTTATTAATTTTAGCCTAATGAAACACATGTTGTCTCACACTTCAATTAACACATGCTTGTTTTCCTCGTATGTATGTGGTTTTAGCTGTCAGTAGAACAAAGTATTTTTTGAGAAAGAAAATATAAAGAGATGTAATTAGAAAGTGGTTATGGATAACTTAGAGGAGAGAATACACTACTAATATCATATTCCAAAATAGAAGTGGTCTGAAGCTCAGCAGCTTACAGGCCTAATTGGATAAATCATTCTGAAACATGAAAGAAATAGCACATATAGACATACATAAAAAATAATGACACCTAGATGACACTCACAATTCTTTTAACCTTGCTGAAGGGCAAATATAAATTGACTGGTTGTCAAAATCTTTTCAGCTCATTACTTCTACAGGATTTTCAGCTGAACTTGGTCAAGTTAGTACATGACCTTTTTGCTCAGTTAAGTCTGTGCCAGCTTCTTCAAAAAATGTTTGCTGCTCTTCTGTTTTAGGGAAGCAGTAGGCGCATCAGCATCTTACATTCCCCAACAGCTCTCACCTTCCAAATATTCTTAGACTCCTGATATGACACTTCCAAACTGACGATAGCTACACACATCCTATTCAAAACTGATTAGAACCGAACAGCTTGAAGGTAGCTCACAAATGAGCCATCTGATGGTCAAGGAGAAAAGCACTGCAAGGCAGCATGACTGTGCAAGTCACAAGAGATAAGAACAAAGCTGACTCAGCAAGCCATGAGAGCGTAAATGATCTTCCCCAACTCCAAAGGTAATGGAAAGCACAATAGTCCTGTGTGCCACTAACTAGTCTCACTTTCCAGCTAAACTAGTCTCACTCTCCAGCTAACGGAAGGAAATACTGACAGTGCGTAAGAGCCACTTCTAAGGATGTCCTCAAACAGAGAACGCTTTGCAGTATTAATTAATTTGGTATTACACATAACATTATATTTTATATACTTCTTTTTTGTCCTCACAGTATGCACTGCATTGCAAACATTGTAGTTTCCACCCCTGTATCTTGTTTTGATAGTGATAGTGAAATATGAGTCATATCTACTACCCTAATCTAATTGAGCTACTCTGATGGTTAAAACCAGACGGTATAAACATCATCACTGCCATTCCCTGATGTAGGGCTGGACATGAGGCAGGTGAAAAGATAGGTGGGGTATTTACGTTGGGTATCTGGAGGTTATACAGCTGCCTGCATCAACAAAAGTTTGTCATTGGTCGCCATATCATGGTTGCTCTTCTGTCCCCTACTGGTGATCACCAAAAATGATTGAAAAAGTAGATACAATGAGTCTAATCACCTGTCCTTATAGACCCATACAAATTTATCTTGCTATTGAAATCAATAGGAGTTTTAAAAATATTTTCCAGCAAGGACTAGATTATCAAGACCTCTCATGAGCGTCCACTAAAAAAGTTAAAATTCCATTTATCTGAAGACTTTGATATTAGTAGCAATAAAGGTAACTAATTAACATTCCATAGGATATTTCATATCTGATTGCTTCCTTAATTGGGAAAAACAACTTTCTAACTTTGAGCCTTTTACACAGAGCACTAACAGAATGAATTGGACATCAGTGTGTAACACCACACTGTAATTACATGAAGCAACTCTCTTCTTGTAACATGTCAGTAAATCTAAGATGAGAGCAAATCTTTTAATACTCCACCAACTCCAGTCACAGTAGCAGCTGTTTTGCTGCATGAGTACACCTGCTAGAAATAAACTAATAATCTAGAGAACCTCTGGCATCAATCACAGCATCAATTTTCATAGAGGAAAATGTGAAGTTGCTTACAGCAAAGAGTCAGTTGAGCTAGAAAAATTCACTACTAGGAATCCTATAAATAAATAAAATAATACAGAGGGTGTAACCTGCAAATACCCCAATAGAAATACAACTGTCGAGATGAGAATAATGCAGAAATGAGCACACCTTCGTAACAGTGAAAATGAGATTATCAGGATATAGAAATTCAACATTAAAAAACAAAAGATAAATCTGCAGGATGATCCCAAAGTGTTTCTGAAAGAGGTGTAACAAAATTGGTCAGTAACATTAAATAAAAAAGAAAAAAGGTGAAGAGGTTTTTTTTCATCTTGAGATAGATATACTCAGGGAAAAAAAGTAATTAAGAGCAGCACTTAGATAGCAATGACGAAAGCATTCTTTTTCCATCAAAGCATGGTTCATTTAATCACAATCAGTGCATTCGTGTCAAGCAAATGAATGACTAATAGCTAAAAGACTTTACCAGCATTGCTGGAAACTACCCATTGCTATTTGGCCAAATGCAAAACACCTGCTAGCTCCAAGGGAGACTAAAAGGTATTACTTTTGGTTAGAAGAGCCGGTGCTTAGCTTAAAAAAAACAAAACAAAACCAAACCAAAAAAACCCACAAACCAAAAAACCACAAACCAACCCAACAATCCCCCAAGCTCCAAGAAGCTGAGTTCAATGAGATAATTTCATCTAATGTTTAGAGAGAGCTGTTTGCAAGGATCCAGATGAGGCTGTTCGCTGCTATTGAGTAGAGGAGGGTGCCCAATTACTGCCTGTAAAACAACGAGAGGCCTGTAGGATGTGGACACGAGGTTAATTGTACAATATCAGAAAAACAGTATTTCTACTAGGTATGTGATTTTTAATATCCAGTACTTCTTTAGTTTTCTTCTCCCGCCCCCCTCAGGATAATGGGATCTTTTGTTTGGTTTTGGGGGGGCTGGAAGGGTGGGTTAGTAGGTGTTTGGTAGACTCAGTGAGCAGACTGAAAGAAGCAAAAAGATGTAAATTGGAACTAAAATTTTGTTGTTCTCATTTTGTGTAGCACTACTAACTGAATAGGAGGGTCTAGCATGTTAATTTGCTTGTAACTTTTCATGCTGAATCCTAAAGAAATTGTGATTCCTTCTGACATGATCTCATGTCTCAAAAGGGATCTTCACACTGTGCAAGGAACTGTGTTGGCCTGGCAACTTATTTGCTGACAGGAAATGCAACCCAAACTTTATCAGTATCTATGGATGGAGTTATGAGAGTAAGTTAAATGATATTTACACTACTGTAAAAACTACATAAATGAGGACAGCTATTCTGATCTGGAGAAACAAAATATACAAGTGGGCAAAGATAAATGCATACATATCATGGACTACAGCCTCTGTCATAATCTGAGAATTTTTCAAGTTTGAAATCAGCTTGCCACACCACATCTGAGCTTTGATGAATAAAATCAAGTAGGCAGGAGTAGCTGTTAGAAAAGAAAAAAATGTAGCGTCTACGAAATGCTAATTTTTCAAATACAAGAATACCATTGTTTCTACCATTAGTAAGATATTGCTTAGCTGGGTTTTTTTTCTTCTCCCATCATAAAGCGGCATTTAATCAAAGCTCAGCACTCCATGTTCAATATGCATAGATATTAGCATATACTAATCAGTTACAGTTGTTACAAAAATGAAACAATCAAGGAAAATGCCCATGGGGTGGCAGGGAGGTGAATAGTGGCCTCAAGCCTGGCATTCCCCGGGGAGGCTTCCCTGACGCCAGCCTCACCTCAGCCCGGCTTGTCCTGCGCTTCACGGCCTGGCCACGCAAAAGCCTCACAGAGCGGCAGCTGCCATCCTATCAACGGGTTTTGGGAACAGTTTCTTTCCTAAAATAAGTGCTCGGAAATAGGTTTAACGCTGCAGCTTTTATAGCATTTTCATTTCGAGCTGCAACAGGAGGAGTTGGGAACGCTCCACAAGAAGGTTTCCAGGAAAAGCGGAAAAGGCTCATCTTACTGCCTGCTGCGACAGGCAACTGCTGGAAGTATAATACCCAAAACTAATGGCTTTTCTCTCCTCGTTTTGCTGTTTAATAAACATCTTCTGTTCTGCCTCTATGTTTTTCTACTACGGCAGCTGACGTAGTGCCGGTGAACAGTCCCCGGGGGCTCGGGTCTGGCCGGGGGAGCCGCGGTCCAAC